ATATCCCCTTTGCAGCAGAGGCAGTCACCACTGGAGTAATGACGATGAGAGACGGGCTAGAGTTTGCAGACTCTTTGGGATTCCATCGTGTTGAGGCTGAATTTGACTCATAGAAAGTTATCAATTTCGACTATAAGTTTTGCGGAACGTGTTGACATTGGAGTATATATTGGGAAGGTCAATTATATGCATTGTTTTTGATCTGTGAATCAAGTGGGGCATGCGCTAGCTAATTTTAGTTTTTGTAGTAAGTCTTCTAGAAGTTGGTTTGATGAGCCACCAGATTGTTTGATGAATTCGCTCGTAGACAATGTATTCGTTTTTTATCTTATAATAAAGCTAGTCATGATGGCTTTCAAAAAACAAGATTAAAATAAAATAAAACCAAGAGAAATTCCACACAACGTTTACTCTAGACAAATTAACGTTCAGTTCAATTAGCATCCTAAATCTTGTTAGTCACTCCACGTGTACGGTCACCATTGGCCGGATGGCCTCATCGCCATAAACCCTCGAGCCGAAGAGACGTGTTGCTTCAAGGGCAAGCAAATCCAGCCCGGCACGCGCACCCAGCCACCGCGGCCCTCCTCTGCTCAGCGCCGCACGAACCCAACGGCCGTCTTGAACCGGCCGTGGCCGTCCGATCGCAGCCTCTGTCGCACGCGCAGACCGATCCGACGGCGCCGGCTCGCGTCCGATCCCATAATATAAGAACGGACGGAGAAGGCAGGCGTCTTCTCTGCGAGAACCGCTCCGTCCATTCGAACCCCCGGCCCGAACCGACTCGCCCCTTCCTCCTCCGCTCTCGTCTCTCGCCACTCGCTCCCCTCCCTCTCGAGTTCCTCCAGTTCGCCGTCTCCACCGGCTCGCCCTTAGCGCCGCGGTCTTCCGGGAGTTCGAGAGAGGTGCGTGCGCGTTCGTCCCCCCTGCCCCTGGTCGCCCGCGGGAGTGCGCGCGAGACCCTTCGATCGATCCCCTCTCCTCCAGTTCGTTTGTGTTTTCCCGAGGTTTATCGGTGCGAATTGTTTTGGTCGATTTCGTCGCGTTGCGTTGTGGATTTGATTTGCAGTCGCGTTGATTTCGGCTTATTAATTGCTTCGTGAAGTCCGGACGCTGCACCTCGATCCTGACATGGCTCCGTGTTTCGTTGATGTTGCAGGCGGTCGCTGCTTGCGACGCGCGCGTGTGGCGGCGGACGGACGCGATGGTTTCCTTCGACATCAACGACCGCAAGAGTACGTGACTTCACAGCCTCCCCCTCTCCCTCTCTCCTCCTAGCGCGATTCATGTGTCGTTCGTTGCGAGATTGGGAGGCGTTTGCTCTCTCGCGCCCTGTAAATTATTCGTCTCACATTTGGTCCCGTCTGCCGCTCTGGTGTCGAAACCCGTAGGAGATTCAGATGGTTGTTTCGTTTTCAGTGACTACATTGATCCTTTCGCGTCTTGGTTGCTATGAATTCTGCTCCGTATTTTACAATCCAATGGGTTCAATGTGCAAGTTAACAGCATTGGTTTGGTGTGTAGAATCTCGCCCAAATTCAGCGATGTTCTGTCTCAGGGTTTGCTTAGTGTGAATTATTTGCCGTTGGTATAATGTCGTTGCGTTAATGCTTGTCCACTGTTTAAGTGTGGCAAACTATTCTTCTATCATTGCCTCTGTGTAGGATTACAACAGTGTGATTTCTAATGTTTCATTTTTGGCAGACACATGTGTAGAAAATCAACTAACGGTTACGAGTATGAGTGTATGACATCTGTTCAGAATAAGAACCACTCATGCTATTCGGTGTTTTACTGCTTGGTCATTGGTTGGTGTACACATTTTCAGGAAGTTATAATCAGGAGGCAGCATCTAATAGCTGCTAAATGCTAAATATAATAGTTGGTGTACAAATTCTTCTACGCTGAATTTTAAAGTCCGATGGGTTCACTGTGCTAGTTAACAGTATTGTTTTGGTGTGTTGAATCTCGCCCAAATTCAGCAATGTCTTGTCTCAGGGTTTGTTTAGTGCCGTTGGTATGATCATGATGCCGTTGCATAAATGTTTTTGGTCCACTTTTTAAATGTGTCAGACTATTCTTCTATCATTGCCTCTGCATAGGATTAGAACAGTGTGATTTCTAATGTTTACCAGACAGATGTATACAAAATTAACTTGGGCTTACGTGCATGGCATCTATTTAGAATAAAAACCACTGCTGTTCGGTGTTTTCCTGTTTGGTCATTCGTTGTTGAAAAATTGTCAGGAAGATATAATCAGAAGGCACCATCTAATAGATGCTAAATGCTTAATATTACTGAAATTGGCTGTCTAAGTGACACTTTCAATTCATGTCTTCTACAATGCACCTGTATGGCTGTACCTCTGAACTCTTGCTCAAACTACAAGTAGTTTCTAAGTACGTATGACTGTTTTTTTGGGGCGTCTTATTTAATCAAGTGGCACTTGTCTTGTAATGCACCTCCGAACTCTTCCTCAAGTTGTTTCACATTTTCCAACAGAGATTGGGCTGGGCTTGACTGGGTTTGGAGTTCTCTTCTCGTTTCTTGGGATCCTCATGCTGTTTGACAAGGGGTTCTTGGCAATGGGGAATGTAAGAATCTTCCTCCTGGTTTACTTATACTTCACTGCAACCTATTCCTTTCTAATTACTATCATGCATTTCCTGTTGTCAGATTCTCTTCGTGTCTGGTGTTTCACTAACCATTGGGCTGAAGTCAACCGTACAGTTCTTCACCAAGCCTAAGAATCACAAGGTCCTGTACATGTAACAATGCAAGCCTAAGAACAGTCATGCATCCAAACTGTTCAGTTCCAATTCAGTTATGAGCTAACATGATTCACCTGAATGTGCAGGGTTCGATTGCTTTTGGGATCGGACTTTTCCTCGTCCTCATTGGTTGGCCTGTCTTCGGAATGATGGCGGAATCGTATGGCTTTGCCGTGCTGTTCAGGTTTGTAAATCCTGTGTCGTGCATTTATATGGTCATCTGATGTCTGGTTTTCAGTGTGCATTAAGAAATGGTAGAAACCTTTGGGTATTGTATCTGACTGCTACTGAATTTCCTCACAGCGGCTTCTGGCCTACTGCTGCTGTTTACCTGCAAAAGAACCCCACCGTCGGCTGGATTTTCCAGCACCCTTACGTGACTTCGGTAAGATAATGTGTTCGTTCTTTGCGGCTTTGCTATTGCTTTCTGCCTAAATTTTCCTGAAGTCCAACCTAATTTGGTCGCAACTTTGTTTATATGGAGATTTTTTCTGTGAGAGATTGTTTATATGGAGATTGATGAACCATATGATTACATCTCAGTCTCCATTGTTCTTAGTTCTTACTGATGTTTCCTACTCGAATTTCGCAGTTGCTCACCCGGTTCAGAGGCAGACGAGTCCCCGTGTGATCGCCGTGCTGTCGAAACATTCCCAAAGGATGCCAGATCGCTCTGTATAAAGTAGACGGACATGTGTTCTCTTGCTCGTTTGTTGATTCCTTGGTCTGCTGGATGTGAATCTTGCTGCGCTGCTACCAGTTGATTTTCTGCAGATTTCTTGACTGCGTCTAGAATTCTTTTTGTACAAAAGCATTTGTTAGTACCACGTGTTAAGGTGGCTAAGAGCTGAGCTCTTTTCTGAATGATCGTAAGTCTGAGTGAATGGTGAATTGGTTCGTGCATATTATTTCCTACTGATTCTAGCTCTCAAGGAAGCCATTTCTTGCTTGGTTTTTGTAATAACGAATTAGACATTTCCTGCTCATGAACAGCTGATTACATCTCTGCTTATTGCATCCTAGTGTAACACCATAATTTCTGCTTACCACACAACTGCATATTCAGCATGGAAGCAGCAGGTGATACTTGACTGTTGCCCCAGATTGCGCGCTTCGGGCATCAGTGCTACTTCGACCATTGTTTTTGTGCGGGGACACCTTCCAAACTGTGTGTAATTTGAAGGTCCTGCTGTTTATAAGGAAATGAACAAGGAAGCAGCTTGGCGTACATCTGTTCTTTATTTTCATTTTCTTCTCCGGTACATAACCGGTATCAATCCGTTCCGTTCATGAAAACTGGGGTTCTTAGCTCGAAAATGAGCGGCCGGTCATATGAATCACTGGTCAGTATCATTTATGATCGCTTAAACTGTAGTTAAGATCAAAGAAAATCACCATGGTACTCAAGTTAAATTTAAGGTTCAGCAGATCCAGCAAGTTCATAATTGAAAATAGAAATTATTCATATGTAGGACCTGAGTCCAGCATTAATTTAACAATTTTTCAACAAATTTATAACTGATAATGTTATTTACAAATGTTAACAGCAAAGGGGGGTTTCCAGAGCTGATGTTTGCAGTTCTCCAGTTACACAAACATCAGATGTATGCAAGATCATGCAACTTCGACCATTGTTTTTGTACGTGGACATGTTCCAAACTCTGTGTAAACTTTCAAATTTGAAGCTCCAGCTGTTTATAAGGTAATGAAACAAAGAAGCAGCAAGGTGTATATCTGTTCTTTATTTTCATTTTCTTCTCCAGTACAGTTCCCTCTGAAAATGAGTGACTGGGTCATATGAATCACTGGAGAGGTTCATTTACGATCGCTTAAACTGGAGTACTTGTTAAGATCAAAGAAAATCACCATAGCACTCAAGTTAAATTCAAGGTTCAGCGGATCCATCAAGATCATAATTGAAAATATAAATTATTCATATATACGACCTGAGTCCAGCATAATTTGAAGATCTTTTCCACAAATTTATAACTGATAATGTTATCACTCGTATATTTACAAATCTTAACAACAGGGGGGGGGGGTGATTCCAGAGCTGATGTTTTGCAATTACACAAACATCAGATATATGCAAGATCATGCAACTGAGCTATAATTACTCGATCAAGCTACATGGTCCTGGAGCACTTCCGGATGAAAACATTCTGCAACTACCTACCCAAAGTGCTACACAGTATTACAACCAAACCTCATCTACAGTGAAGCAACGGTTAAGAGTTCCTCATAATTTTAATTGCTTCGCTGCCGCCTCTGATGTCACTCAGTAAAGCAATTTGATGCAGAAGTTGCGCTATCCTCTGCGACAAGAAAAATAAGAATATAATGAGGGGACATCGAAAAATGATCATATGTTAAAGTGCCAATCTGCCAAATGCATTTCTACCTTATTCACAAGACTCAGCAGTAGCAACCGTAGATGAGAGAAATACAGACAGTTACTCCGTATTTGGTAGAGTATGTTTAGACAGAAGGCTATGACAAAGGTACACATCAATTATTACAAGATAAAGGCTAAGATGGAGATGTACAGTTTATTTGGAACCTGTGAAACATGGCAAAAACACTACCTAAACGAAGCGTACAAAGTCTTCTACACCATTTGCTTCCCTGAACCCAGCCCCAAAACCAAGACCTCTAATCATCCATGACTGACACACCAATTGTCAAAAGACACTCAAATGGAGTGAATAAAGGATATCTGTTCATCTCCCAGTCATCCCCAATATCAACCATTGTAAGAACAAATATAGAAACAGCTTCTCAAAGGTTCATTCGTACAGCATCAGCTTCCCAAATTGTTTGAATGTCAGTAATACTAATGATGATGTAGATGCCAATAAGATATCTTGGGTCCAATCAATCAATTCAACTTAAGTTGGAGATCTGCCAAACACAGAGATGGCATTCACATCATGACCAAAGGTTGTCCAGATCCACAAACCTTATCCTTCTCCTGCGAGAGCATGACGAGGAGGTCCCTCTCCCTCCTGTCTCGCCGGCGCACGTACAACAGCGCGCCAACCACAACGGCCGCCGCCGCGGCCGACCAGACGGCCGGCCTCACCCCGGGACATCCGCACTCTCCATGCACGAGCACGGCCCCTGACCCGGCCGCCCACGCGCGCGTCGCCGCCGCGCGGCATCTCCCCCACCCCCACAGCCACTCCTCCTCGTCATCAGTCTCCTCCTCCTTCTCTTCCTTGGTCGCGGCCTCCTCGGCCTCCGCCTCGAGCCCCAGGCCCTCGTGAAGGCGCGGTGGGAAGATGGCGCAGTCGTCGAGGCCGCCGTCTATGGGGGAAGCGGCGGCAACGGGGACGGTTGGGTGGACGAGTTCCCATGCGTCGGAGGCGGGGGCGGGCGGGGAGGAGGAGGAGGGCATCGAGGCGAGGGAGGAGGAGGAGAGCGAGAGGGTCAGCGTCTTGGGCTTGAGGAGGAGGTGCGGGTTCGTGGACGGGAGGAGGAGAGGGTGGAGCGCGGAGTAGGGCGACGCCGGGCCGGACATGGGGTTCCCGAGCTGGAATTGCGGCGGCGGCGGCGGCTGGGCGAGCCTCTCGTCCATGGCCACTGCTGCCGCTGCAGCCACTGGGCTTGATTTTTCAATTTGCGTTTGAGAAGTAAATATCGAGAAAATTTTGTGTGTTTTCATGTGGTGCTTGAGGTCGATGGTGACTCGTGGTTTGGATTTACCGATGGCTTGTACTACGATGCAATGCAAGGTATTTAAGTAGGTGTTCGAAAAATAAATCAAGTTTTGTTTAAGTATCATTGCTTATTTCTACAGGAGATGTGCCGAACTAAGTGGGATTTTAAGCACATGTATAAACACCTTGCTTTATAGTTTTGCTCTCGAGTCTCAACTCACGGTGGCTTTGTGTGTGCATATTGTTTTCACATTGGCTATTAATTAGACGAAAAAAGATTACCGTTCAGTCCATTTGAGGCGAGGCCGGCCATGGGTGGTGGTGACGACTAGGCAAAGGGTTAGACAAGTGCGGATGCATGGCAAGGAGAGCAGTCCCCAACGGTAAATAAGTTTGGTGGACTTCGAAATCTTGCTTCCATTCCACTAGCCAAGAATATGGAGAGTGACTTTATCTTTTGAACTTCTTAAGCTGACTTGAAAAAAAAAGTGGTACACCCTTAAGAGATGTGAAGTGTTTTCATGAAGGGAAGTGGATGATTGGGTAGTTTCTAGCTTTTGAGAAATGGAGTAAGAGAGAGAAGAAGAACAATTCAAAAGTCAATGGATGGATGCCTCTTGGGGAAGATGAAGTGGGCTTATATAGTCCCACTTGCAAATGTGTCTCTTGGAAGCGTCGAGACACCTGCTAGAAGTAGCTTCGAAAGTTCCGGAGCAACGCTCCAGACAGTCGGATTTCGACACTTCTTCTAGAGCAGGTTCCGCAGCTAAACAAAGAGCCAACAGAACTCCCAACCAATTTCGGAACCTACTCTGGAGCTGATGCCGAATTCCGAACGCTCCAGAAGGACTTGGGTTAGGGTTATGAAGAGTAATTAGTGTCGATCTTGTCCCTTGAGTGATATGCTCTTTGTATTTTTCCTTTGTTTGCAATTTATGCTTGTGTTTCTTCTCTAAACCACCTCCAATTCGTAAAGAACAGACCACCCATGAGGTTTGCCCCGTATCAGTGCGTCAACGATTGATGGTGAGACCAGCGAGGTCGAGCTTGAATTGGGCGAGGCCGATGATATTGACGCCATGGATGGAAGGGATTGAGGAGGAGGAGGCATCTACAACGATGAATGTTGCAAAGGGAAGGGTGGCAGCGGGTACAACAGAGGCGGCAAGAGGAAGGCCGCCAAACATGGAGAGCTCAACCGTGGTGGGTGTCGGTGTCAAAAGCGGCGGATCTCGAGTAGGGGGTCCTGAGCTGTGGATCTTGGATCAATGGGGAACAAGGGACGAAGGACACAGTGTTTACCCAGGTTCGGGCCCTCTCTAAGAGGTAAAACCCTACGTCCTGCTTGATTATATTGATGTGAATAGGATGATCACAGAGTCGATCTACCACGAGATTAGATGAACTAAACCTTAGACTAGTAGGATAATGGTTGTTGGTCTAGCCTCCACGGACTAAACCCTCCGGTTTATATAGGCACCAGGGGTACTAGGGTTACACATGATTGGTTACAACAAGGGAAATAAACATGCCGAATCTTCTATCTTGAGTTGGAGGACACACCAAGACTTCGAGGGTTTCCTGTCCGGACACGGAGTCACCTTGTAGCTCGGTCCCGTAGTAGTCATACAACGGCCCACCTGTCCGGCCCATAAGGAATAGTCCCGCAGCCCGAGGATCCCTTAGTCCAGGACTCCCTCAGTAGCCCCTAAACTAGCTTCCAATGCTGGCATCTTGTAACTCTTGAATCTGCAGTCTCTGGCTTGCAGCGAGTTCTTCTCTCCCTGTGTGTTCGGAAAAATCTTCCTCGGTTGAATCTCCAAAAAAATGTTTGGTCAAGTTCGGTCATGCACTCAATTAAGTAGTATCAGGAATCCGGATTATCGGTCTTATTTAGCCTTGAAGGTCAACCACTCGAGTGTGAAAAGTGCCTTTGCCTGACAACTTTCGGTAAAGGGTCACGTTCGGTCATAAACACTGAACCGTTGTGAGCACTTGATGCACGGTTCGAGGCAACCCCTTCATAGGCACGTCCCATCGAGGTGGGGATCGTGCCCCGCTTTTTAGGGGATATGATCAATGATTCTGATCATCCCACTCGTGCATAACGTCACGAGTATATCGGGAAGTGGAGAGGCATGTGGTGCAGTAAAAGGACCTTGGTACTTCGGCAGCCTATAAAAGGGGAACGGCCATCGTTATCGGCATACGCCTTCTCCTTCCTCTCGCCATCACTTTCCAATCTTCGGAGCTCCATCACCTCGTGCCGTTCTTCCAAAGAGAATCCCTTCAAGCCACCCCTCACTCCAGCAATGGCCGGATCTGGTGCCAAAGGCGAGTGGGAGACCTCCACCGTCACAAACGATGAGATTGAGGATCTGAAGTGTGTCGGCTACCTCTCGGCCAACATCGCTCACCGGACCACAAAGAAGGGCCAGGCCATCCCCCTCCTCGACCAGGTGACAGGGTGGTGTTCGTCCCTCACTTCATCCGGGGACTGGGCTTCCCGCTTCACCCTTATGTTAGGGGGCTGATGTTCTTCTACAGGATGGATTTCCACGATCTGGCCCCGAAATCCTTCCTCCACATCTCGACCTTCATCGTCATATGCGAGGCCTTCTTGCAAGTCCGGCCGCACTTTGGCTTGCGGTTGAAGTTATTCAATGTTAAGCCGAAGATAGTCAACGGCCAACAGGCGGACGGCAGCGGGGCGATGACCAGCAAGCTCGCCCAGGTCAAGTGGTCGGAGGGCATGTTTATTGATATTGTCAAAATTTGACAGAAGGAGTGGTTCTATATCACAGAACCATAGGACACTCCCTAGATGATGGCTCCCGAATTTAGATCCGGACCCCCGGCGAGGCTAACCTCGTGGACCAAGAAGGGTCTCGACTGGTGGTCCACCATGAAGGTGGAGGCGCTGCAGAAGCGCGTCTCTAACATGATAAAGGCGGGTGCCAAGCTGACCAACGTGGTTCAAATGATGCTCTGCCCGCGCCTCCTCCCTTGCCAACAAAGGGCCACCCCAATGTGGTCTTACAAGATCAAGGATCCGGCCACCATTCAATACTTTTACAGCACCACCCACGACAAGCTGTGGTAGGTGTTATTCAAGCCTCAAAAGACGTGGCGGGCTAAGGAGGAAGATATCAACCTCGCCCCCCCCCCCCAAGGAGGTAACAAAGTTCTTATCCGTTCTAAGTTTGGATGTTCGTATTCCAGGGAATTTATCCTCCATTCTTTTACTTCTACAGGGTTGGCTCGAGAAGGCCAAGAAGATCAGTAGTACGACCTGTCGGTGTCAAAACCGGTAGATCTGGGGTAGGGGGGCCAAGCTGTGCGTCTGAGGATCAATAGTAACAATGGAGAAGGGACACAATGTTTACCCAGGTTCGGGCCCTCTTAATGGAGGTAAAACCCTACTCCTGCTTGATTATATTCGAGGGTATAGAGGTCAAGAGTTGATCTACCACAAGATCGATTCGGCTAACCCTAGATAGCTAGCCTAGCAATGTTGTGATCCTGCCTTCGATCTACCCTCCAGTTTATAGAGACACCAGCAGGGCTTAGGGTTGTACAAAGTCGGTTTTACAGAAAGGAATAAGATATTCGGACACCTATACTTGCCATCCACGTATACGGGAGTCGCCACCGGACACGAGAGATAATCTTCTATCTTGTGTCTTGACAGCCCACCAGTCCGGCCCACATCAATAGACCGAACGCCCGAGGACCCCCTAATCCAGGACTCCCACAGTAGCCCCTGAACCACTCTTCAATGATGATATATTCGGTGCTCAGATTGTATTCGACATTGCAATGCGGGTTCCTTAGAGAGTACACATCGGCTTTCCTCTGCAAAAAGAATTGTATCCGACTTTTCGCAATAAACACAACCCTTAGCCGCGAAGGCAGGATATATAAAAAATGAGAACCGTGTCTTTTACGGACAACTCTCTCCACGAAGCGTCAGACACGACCCCTCGTCATTTTGAACCGTTTTCACGCCCCGTGTTCCGTGCTTCGAGGTCACGCCTCATTGGTGCGTCCTGTCAAAATAGAGATCATGCCCACTTAATACGGGATGGCATATCAATGATTTTTGGGTAATCCAACCATTTGCGGCGCACGCATCCATCGAGAATAGGCAAGATTCAAGGCACGAGTGGGGGCGATTGGTATTTTCACTACCTATAAGGCAAGGGACCCCCACTTTCCTCCCCACACCTTCACATCTCCTCAGCCTTCCAATCTCCCACGCTCTTCTGCGCTCGCAAAGTCTCCGTCTTTCTCACCACCACCACCACCACCTACTCCGACCATGGCCGGAGCTGGCTCCAAGGGCAAATGGGAGGCCTCCTCCGTGAAGGAGGAGAACATAGCAGATCTCCAGAGTGCGGGGTACCTCACCACCGAAATCAAGCACCGACTTCCCTCTGAAGGTCAAGTCCTTCCCACTCCGGAGCCCGGCGAAAGGGTTGTCTTCCTTCCCAATTTCCTTAGAGGGTTTCTACCTCTTGAGCACTGCGTTGGTTTTCCCTCAAAGAGGAAAGGGTGATGCAGCAAAGTAGCGTAAGTATTTCCCTTAGTTTTTGAGAACCAAGGTATCAATCCAGTAGGAGGCTCAACGCAAGTCCCTCGTACCTACACAAACAAACAAGAACCTCGCAACCAGCATGATAAAGGGGTTGTCAATCCCTTCACGGCCACTTGCGAAAGTGAGATCTGATAGAGATAATAAGATAAGATAAATATTTTTGGTATTTTTATGATATAGATTGAAAAGTAAAGATTGAAAAATAAAGTAGATTGGAAACATATATGATGGAAAATAGACCCGGGGCCATAGGTTTCACTAGTGGCTTGTCTCAAGATAGCATAAGTATTACGGTGGGTGAACAAATTACTGTCGAGCAAT